CATATATATGCTGCATCTTCTTTATCCATTCATCTATTGATGTGCACTTATGATGCTTCCATACCTTGGCAATTATAAATAATGTTGCTATTAATAGCAGGGTGTATGTATCTTTTTAAATTAATTACTGTTTTGTGATTGGCTTTATTCCTTTGATAACTAGGTAACTTTAAAAAGTTAAAGCTCTAAAGGTTCTTAGAAACAATGAATAGTATATATATGTAAATTTAAAAAATTTGCAAAATTAATTGGAAAATCAAGTAAAGTTGATACTAACAGTTTAAAAAAACATTACTTAATTAATTTGATACCTTCTTGGAAGGTATCAACAAACTCTGATTCAAAGAGAAGGCTGAAATCCCCAGTGATGCCTAAGACCATGTATCAGAGTCTAGCCAGGAAAATGGAAACTCTTGGGTATTCAAAAGAGAAGATACTAATGCAGAGACCTGTCACACAGGCAGAGAGTCACAGGGCTAAGACGTACCAGAATATGGTAAAGCAACACAGCAGGAAACCACTGCCACATTTAGGCCGGGGGATCCAAAGGAGCAGGTGATGTCAGAATGGTGGGGGCAGGCAGTGGGGCTGGGGCTGGAATCCCAACAGGCCCACCTGGCAGGAGCTGAAGCCCCAGGGAGGTACAGCTCTGCCAGAAACACTCCCTGAAGCAGAGAGCATATGCTAGCTTTTTCTTTCCTCTGCTTCTCAGTCTCCCACCACAGCCAAACCTACGTGGCCAGGAGCCATCTGACAGGGAGCCTGAGAAATGAAGTCTATAAAGAGCTGTGATGCAGAACAGAGCAAGGGCATACCCCAGGGTCAACCAAAAACCTATCATAAAAATCATATAGGAGCACAAATCTAAGTATTTAATTCTGTAAAAAGGATCAAGTCAGCAAAGAGCACATCACAGTCAGGTTGATGTGTAATCTGGATAAAGGAGTAGTCAGCAAGCTTCTCTGTTACCTCTAGATTGAAATATTTCTGGCTGTTTTGGCTGTTTAGGCCATGTAATCTGTGTCACAGCTCCTCGTTCTGCTACTGTATTGTAAAAGCAGCCACAGCTAATGCCCATTCACTTAGGCAAGTGTGTGTCACAATAAAACATTACAAAAAAGGGCAGCAGGACAGACTTGGCTCATGGACCATAGGGAGCCAGCCCTGGTCTAAAGGGTTCTCTGTCTTCCCAGATGTCAACAGTTCCACTGTGTGATGTGGACATAGTTCACTAGCCATCAACATAAGATTTCTCCTAGCTGCCATCAGAAAATTACTCATATAATTAAACGGCGCTAATTATTAGAGAAATGCAGATCAAAACTACACTAAGGTATCACCTCACACCAGTCAGAATGGCCATCATGAAAAAGACTACAAATAATAAATGCTGGAGGGGATATGGAGAAAAGGGAACCCTCCTACACTGCTGGTGGGAATGTAGTTTGGTACAGCCATTATGGAAAACAGTATGGAGATTCCTTGAAAGACTGAAAACAGACTTACCATATGATCCAGCAATAGCACTCCTAGGCATATCTCTGGAGAAAACCAATTCAAAAAGCTATATGCACCCTAATGTTCAGAGCAGCACTACTTACAATAGCCAAGACATGGAAGCAACCTAAACGTCCATCAATGGATAACTGGATAAAGAAGATGTCATATACATGAATACAATGCAATACTGCTCAGCCATAAAAAAGAATGAAATAGTGCCATCTGCAGCAACATGGATGGACCTAGAGATTATTATATTAAGTCAGAAGAGAAAGACAAATATCATATGATACCACTTCCATGTAGAGTCTACAAAAAAATGATACAAACGAACTTTACAAAACAGAGACTCAGAGACAGAAGACAAACTTATGGTTACCCAAGGATAAAGAAGCGGGAAGGATAAATTAGGAGTTTGAGATTATCAGATACACACTGTTACATATAAAATAAACAAGAACCTACTGTGTGGCATAAAATACTGTATTCAATATCTTGTAATAACCTATAATAGAAAAGAATCTGAAAAATTATATATTCTGTATAACTGAATCACTTTGCCATACACCTGAAGCTAACACAACATTGTAAATCAGTACTTCAGTTTAAAAAAAAAAGATTTTAGGTATTGAAAGAATTTATATATTTTTTTAATTTAGTGTCAGCTTTACTAACTTACTTTTTTAAATTATTTACTACAGCTGGGTGAAAAGACACAGAAAAAGCACTGGAAAAAGATACAAATAGATAAAACAATTAGTAAATGTGAAACTGTACTGTGACATGGATATCTGTCAGAATAAAGGATACTTGTGAAGAAGAAGAAAAAAGGCTACTTATACACCAACAAATACATGTAAATTTGGTGAAATAGAAATAGGAGATGTGAGTAAAGGACTTAGACCTTTAGCAAGTGTAGACAAAGGCTAATTGAAGAGGAATCATCAATCTCTTTAGCACTATCCATGTGCCCACTGGTATTCCAGGTTGGACCAATACATCAGATATTCCACAGGAGACTAGCCCTGCAGAAGGTGAAAATGTAGGGAAGTGGTTTTTGTGATCAAGTAAACCAGGAAATACAGTGTTTAAAAAAGGTAACCAGTTTTCCTCATTGTTGAACTTCTCAGAGCCTTCAATGTATCAGTGTTTATTATAAAGTTCCAAAAATGGGGAGATGCATTATTATGTAACTCTTGACCATAGGGGCTCTTTTATTCACAGAATGTCTTGAAAGAATACTGCTCCAAAGAATACACTTTAAAAAAGCCTCCTTAAAAAACAGGTATTTCATACTTTCAAAATTTTACTATTAGTAATTAGGTTCAATAATTTCGTACTTTTGATTTTTACTATGATTAGGCTTCCCAAATATTTGGACAAAAGGAAGATTTTATGGCCATATATAATGCAACTAGAATTTAATTTTTTGGTAAATTGTTCAATGAATAGTATATTATCTGGTTGTTTAGTGAAATAAAATTTCTCAATCTGCAAAGGTGAGAAAAAGACTAAATCTTACTGATTTAATCATGCAGTAGGAAACATTTTCCCATTTATTCTTTGGAACACTTCATTCTTGGATATGGGATGGAAATACTTGTACAAAAGATTGATTCTAAGTATCACATAAAATGGCATTTAGGAAATGACATGGTTGATCAGGGTACTGCAATTCTTGTAAAATATATTTTCTAACAATTTAAGAGCTCTAAGAAATAGCATCCTCAAAATTAAGAATTAATAAATTCAGTCAAAATAGTACCATTAAAGTACTTTCTTGCCCAGAAATAAACCCACAAACTTTCAATTAATCTTTGACAAAGGAGGCAAGAATATACAATAAAGTAAAGACAGTCTCTTCACTAAATGATGTTGGGAAAACTGGACAGACGCATGTCAATCAATGAAATTAGAACACTCCCTCACACCATACACAAAAAATAAACTCAAAATGGCTTAAAGACTTATAAGACAAACTATAAACCTCTTAGAAGAAAACATAGGCAAAACATTATCTGACATAAATCTCAGCAATGTTCTCCTAGGGCAGCCTACCCAGGCAATAGAAATAAAAGAATAAACAAATGGGACCTAATTAAAGTTACAAGCTTTTGCACAGCAAAAGAAGCCATAAGCAAAACAAAAAGTCTATGGAATGGGAGAAAATACTTGCAAAAGATGAAACTGAACAGGACTTAATTTCCAGAATATCCAATATATACAGCTCATACAACTGAATAAGAAAAAACAAACAGTTCTCCAGTGAAGACATATAAATGGCCAATAGGCACATGAAAAAATACTCAATATCACTAATTATCAAAGAAATGCAAATCAAAACTACAGTGAGATATCCCATCACACTAGTCAGAATGGCCATCATTCAAAAGTCCATGAATGATAAATGCTGAAGAGTGTGTGGAGAAAAGGGAGACCTCCTACACTGCTGGTGGGAATGTAAGTTGGTGCAGCCATTACGGAAAACAGTATGGAGATTTCTGAAAAAACTAAAAATAGACTTACCATGTGATCCAGCAATCCCACTCCTAGGCATATATCCAGAGGGAACCTTAATTCAAAAAGACACCTGCACCCTAGTGTTCATAGCAGCACTATTTACAATAGCCAAGACATGGAAACAAATGAAATGTCCATCAACAGATGACTGGATAAAGAAGATGTGGTATATTTATACAATGGAATACTACTTGGCCATAAAAAAGAATAAAATCGTACCATTTGCAGCAAAATGGATGGACCTAGAGATCATCATTCTAAGTGAAGTAAGCCAGAAAGAGAAAAATACTATATGATATCATTTTTATGTAGAACTTAAAAAAAAACTTATTTACAAAAGAGAAACAGCACAGACATAGACAACAAACTTATGGTTACCAGAGGGGGAGGGGGTAGGAAGGGATACGTTGGGAGTTCTAGATTTGCAGATGCTAGTATACATAAAATAGATAAAGAAGTTTATGCTGTATAGCACAGGGAACTATAGTCAATATCTTGTAGTAACCTATGGTAAAAAAGAATATGAAAACGAATATATGTATGTTCATGTATGGCTGAAATATGCTGTACACCAGAAATGACACAACATCGTAAATTGACTATACTTCAATAAAAATGAAATAAAATAACTGAGTCAGAACCAAAGAACTATGGATCTCCCTACCTTTTATATGTGACATCTTAGTGTGTGGTCTTCCTAGATTCTGCCATCCCAAGTCGTGGTTTGAGTAATGACCGTGGTTTCGATCTCTGTGCCGAGTGCCGTCCAGAGCTGGGATGTGAGGGGTTAAGATGCTCTCAGTGACCGGGATACAGATGCCTGGAGATAGTCAAGTAATCAGTTAGACTTACTCATTTCTAAAAGTGGGGTTTTTAACCAAGCATTCTCCCGCCATGAGGCATGAAGCTATCCAGCATCTTTTCATTCACCCATCCATTTATTCATGTATTTATCAAGACTGAGTATTACTCAGTTTGGTCCAGAGTCAGGCTTCCTTGATTTGAATCTTGCCTCTCTCAAGAGCCAGTGCCCTTTGGCAAACATAGGAATTAAAACAGAATTTACTTCACTAAGTTATTGTGAATACGTGTGAAGTGTTTAGAATAGTGCCATAGTAAGGTATTAAATGATTACTAGCTATTAGTACTTTAAGTCTGATCAGACATCTGTGTTAAGTTTCCTTTTTCAATCAGCAGTACAGTCCTCGTCCACACTGTAAACATCTCTAATGGTAAGAGGTCATCTTCCCTTCACCTCTTGTCCAGGCTACTCCCTGTGGGACTGTGCCCAGGGGTCAGGAACAAGTGTAGGGATATGACTCTGATGATGTTGTTTTATATGACTAAGTATGTTCCTGATCACCTTCTTCAGTTACTTAATGGTTTTACCTGCCATATACTGTCTGTGGTTCTTCATTTCCTCATTAATGCTGAATTATCTGCCTATGAACTCACTGAGATTGGGCGAAGCCCTGCTTTGGGGAAGGCCAGGGAATAGACTCCTGTGTCTCCTTTTGGAGGAACCAGTCACTCCATCAGCATTTGTGTGTGCCACGGGGTGGGGCCTTCCAGAGAAGATACCTCGAGTATAAGAATCAAGGTATGAAATTGGTACGAAAATGGAAAACAGACTCACAACTGCACTGCTAAATCACAGCAGGTTCCTTTCCTTTGGTTCCTTTGCACATATTCGCTTATGTGTTTAGTGGAATAAAACATCTGGCTATTTACATGCAACATTTTAACATGGCAAATCCTAGATCAGCATAGATTATAAATTATAGAAGATGATCAGAGTCCAGGAAAGCTAAGATTTGGGAGGTGATCCAGGTAATCTTCCACATATCCCAAAGCATGATCCCATTCCTGCCAGCTTTGAAAGGTTCCTTACACTTTAGGAATCTGACTAAAGAGAAGGGAGCCTAACTCGGTAGCCAGACCGCCTCTGTGAAAGGAAACTGAGCCCTTTACCATTATTGCAGCGGGTCCCAGGACAACACATGCCGTCTCTGTGACAGCGCTTCTTTTTCCTTCGACACACCATGCAGGCCGACGATCCTTGGTGGGGACTGTGGCAGTATCTCCCAACTTCACATTCCTTATCACTGCTGCAAGGGTAGGCCTGTCATGAAGGGGAACAACACCATCAAAAAAGCAACGGAGATCAGATCTTGGAACATGGAAAGTTACTGCAGCAAATCACGATGGGAAGTAAATCACAAGGTGTCCCTCCTCAAAGGATTTTAATATACCATTGTAATGATGTTCTCAGCAGAGTGTCTACAGAGTGACACTTAACTGAGGACCTTATAAATCCTGATTATTGATGGTGACAAAGATGAAGGTGACACTATTCATATATTTTCACTGACACCACTTTTGGGTTAGGATTTAGACCTTATGTTCATTAGCAGAGGCCTAAAGAGTGACTCTTGGGCCTCAGAAACAGTTGTCAGTGTTATATTGCCACTGACTTAAGGTATAAATGAAACAGCCTAGCCACCCCATTTTTCATCCACTACAACTGGATGAGAAGGTTAAATAAAACAACAAAGGGCTGTGCTCGAAGCTAAAACACATCTCCTGCCCAGTTACGGAACAGATCTTCTAAGAGTGACTCATCACAGTTCCTGCCTGCGAGGAACAGAGGAGAAACACTTCCAGAGCAGTGTGAGGCAATGAACTATTTGGCACAAAGCAATCAAGGAGCAGGGTCCTCCTTCCAGACTCAGTGATGAACAGCAGTGGAGTTCTCAGTGGTCAGAGAAGCAGAACCCCAGTTACATCATGTTCTCAGGAAACCAAAGGGCAGGCTCCTTACATACAAAAACAGTCCTCCGGGCTACTGCACCTTTAATTCATACAAAGGGATTGCTGCTGCTGCTGCGTTCCTCTACCAAGTTGTATGTTCAGAAGGCTACTTAAGGAGTCATTATTTCAAAAAAATATGTATATATACACATACACTCCAATTATATACTCCTTGTCTCTTGGGAATGTTAGAGCAGGCAGATAGCTAGATATGAGCGGAGAAAGGGGAATGCAGGCTAAATGGCAGGAATTGGGCAGAAAGGAGGGACACAGGCCAAATGCAGGAAACTAGACATCATGTAAGCACCAGGGGTCCCTGGCAGAGAAAGAAAAGCAGGAGCCTCTGGGCTGATAAGAGGTCACACCTTTCAGGGTGCTAAGTGGCCTGGAGGCCAACAAAGAAAGGTGGGAAAAGGCAGGAATCTCCAGTGTCTGAATGTAACCTTTTGCTCACTATAGCCTCATTTCAATAAAATCCGCCTTGCAGATTAAAAGTACCCCATCCTGCACGGACTCCATGACACTTCCGATCCAGACTAAATAAGGACGATAATCCCTTCTCCCTTCAGGAAGGTGGAGTTGGGATGAAAATCAGGGAATACGACCCCAGACCCTTCTCTCCCTAATAAATATTATGCCCATTAATTTTTACACCCTATGTAACCAACTTACCAAAGAAACTTGGGGCAGCTGCTAACCTGAGCCTGCCCGCTCTGCGGTCCCCTTGAGAGTGTACTATCCATCCTTAAATAAATTTTCACTTTACTTTCTTAACCTCCACTTCTTGCCTCTGAATTCTTTCTGGGATGGGACAAGAACCTGGACTCCAGTCACATCTACCAACAACAGAAGTTATTGTTGGAATACTTAAAATGTCCTGTTTTCAGACTGAGAATTGAGAAACTGAAATGTCACATCACACACATCAAACTTATATTTTGAGGCAGGTTTACAGGGAGACTTATTTGCCAGTCTTTTTTCTTTTTTTGGTAGTTTATTTTTTTTATTTCCAGAGTAATGCGTTTTTTTTTATTAAAAAAGCAGCAGCAGCTATGTAGTTATTTTTAAGCAAGCATAAATGATATGATTATAAAACTACGGAGAAAATTTTTGTGACTCTCCAGTTAGTGTGGTTTGAGTGCCTAGCTTATGAAATGGGGTTTGATGGCCTCACTTTGCATCCATTCCTATTCCTCCCCCAACACTGCCTTGTTAAAGCAGGTAGCTAGCTAGCTATGAGCAGAGAAAAGGGGATGCACTGGGCAAAAAGGAGGGACACAGGCCAAGTGCAGGAAACCATACATCATATAAACAACAGGGGTCCCTGGAAGAGAAAGAAAAGCAGGGGTGATAAGTGGTCACACATTCTGGGGTGACAAGTGCCCCGGACGCCAATGAAGAAAGATGGGAAAAGGCAGAAATCTCCAGTGTCCGAATATAACCTTTTGCTCGTTATGCCCTCATTTCAATAAAATTAGCCTTGCAGATTAGAAGTACCCATCATGACACTTCTGATCCAAACTAAATAAGGACAAAAATCCCTCCTCCCTTCGGGAAGGTGGAGTTGGGGCGGAAAATCAGTGAATACAACACCAAACCCTTCCCTCCCCAGTGAATATTCCGCCCATTCATTTTTACACCCTATGTAGCTAACCTGCCAAAGAAACTCAGGGCAGCCGCTCACCTGAGCCTGCCCGCTCTCCCCTTGAGTGTGTACTATCTCCTAATAAATTCATACTTTAATTTCTTCACTCTGCATCTTGTCTCTGAATCCTTTCTGCGACGAGACAAGAACCTCATCACCAGCAACACTTTTTCACTCTGATTCTTCCATCACCTTTTCTCCCTGTGCCCTGTACATATTCAGTCCCCACGTTTTCCTTTTAGATCTGATCATCTTTGGTTAGAAAGATGAAAAAAATGTGAAGTTGACGTGTGACTCTGAAAACTTTTCATGTTGCATGAAAGAAAAATACACTTTTAGTATCATTACAATTTGCTGTTTACCCTCCAAAGAAAACAGAAAATAGGAACACCTCTAACTTTAAATTGAAAGTGCTTTTGAAGAATTCCACGGTAGCGATGTTTAATGCCCACATTACAGTTGGAGCCAGATAAAGCTATAAAACAAATTAGGATGTAACTGTCCCATTCTGACACCATCATTATGCTTCAGAGAGAATCTGAATGAAGGTGATTTCAGAGTATCAAGCCATTTTTTAAGAGTCCAAGACTGATGAAAACAAAACAAAATGTCACTTCCTGACTTGCTACACTCTTTCCCTGGAGCACTTTACTCCCTTCCTATTTAAACCCAGTCATCTTAATTGAAATACAATTCATGTGTTTCTGCTTCATTTACATTCATTTCACCAAATTGTTTTGCAAGAAACATTTGATGTCTCACAAGTTTTATTCTCCCTTCCTCAAAAATAGGATGTTCTTTCAACGGAAGTAAACATGTGCCATCTCACACATCAAATCTTCAAGGAATTCAGAGTTCATAGAATAACAACTTGATTCCATTCCTAAAAAAAATCATCTGTATGGTAAAAAGCAAGTTGTTTGCTAAAGTAGCAGTTCATTTATGCAGAAAACTGTGGAAGGCTCATCCTCATCTTTTCATTCTCAGTTGATGGGAAATGGAAAATATTGAAATTGAAAATACATGAGATGGAAGATATTTGATGCTATTAGTATGCACAGTAGTATGCACAGTAGTTCTTTATTTGAATGGGACCACAGTAGTATGCACAGTAGTTCTTTATTTGAATGGGACCACAGTAAAATTCTCACAGTTTTTTCAGAGGGAAGAGAGAAAAAATATTAGAAGATACGTAGTTTTACTGTGTCTTAGTGTATCTTCTAACTGGATTGAAATAGAAGTGATAAAGGCAGAAAAAGTGTGCAGGAATTTTTTTTTAATGGAAGGTTACTGTTAATGTGAACTTGTACTTGGAATGGAATGAATCCCAAACATATTAAGATAAATTTTGACAAAAAATAAACCTCAATAATTAAAATACAGGGTTATATGACACAGCTTCTAGTATGGTTATGGAACTCTGGCTCCAATAAACAGCCTTTATAAATGAATAAAATCAAGAATGGATGAGACAGGTTGACTGAAACAGGTTTTAGGGAAAGCCAGCGATATTTGGGGGCACACCTTGTCTTCTGAAATCAGTGTCCCTCAGGATGGATCTAGTCAGCCATAAAGTTTCCCTGTGTGCAATCATTAGCAAGAAAAACACATAGAACTTGAGAAAATATGGATCTGATCCATTAATAGCAATTCTCGTGTTTTCAGCCTAATGCATTATTTTTCAGTAAGGAGCTTTAAACTCAAGTATGAGGGCTCTGCAGCTTGCTACTGGGTTTTCCTACATTAACCCTACATTAACTTGTCTGGAAGTGGTATCACAGTAGGCGAGGGAGGGAGGGAGACAGAGACAGACAAAGAAAAGCACATCGTTAAAGTAGTTATAGAGGATCTTGAAGGAGTGATGACTTGTGGCAATTAACAGACCGCTGGAGGGAAATTACACACATTAATAAAAGTGCCATTCAGAAACTTTCCCAAAGGCTTTTGGCCTCCAAAGGCTGTTCCTAGTCCCATTTGATGATGATTTTGTGACAAACAAAAAGTATATTTGAGTACCTTAGTCTAAGTTTCTACTTAACAAAAGTAATAATATGCTTCCCTGGTACTTATTTTATAAATGGATAAGAAGACTGACTTTATAAACCTGCTATGAAAATTATTAACTATATTTTTATGGCCCTTCATTTACTTGATTTTAGGTGAACAGTATGAGGAACAGTGACAGGCTGTGTGGAAGACTGAAAGTCAAGTGAAAGAATTAGGGAGAGACCTTCTATACACCTGTCCTGTACTAAAACGTTCCAGAACTGCATGAGAAATTCAGTTGCCTGAGCATCCAGGAACACTCGCCTTCATGAAGAATCATTCATGACTTAGCCTCAGTCACACTTAGGAGATGAATTCATTTGAGACACCTAATAATAGTACATGATGGGTCATAAATTAAGAAAGTATGAGAGTAGTCCGTGATCAGGCCAAAAAAAGCAAAGAAGTTTTGCCCAGCTCCCTTTCTAGGCTAAAAATACAGTGGTTCCCATAAATAGCAGTGCTACTTAGCATTACCACCATGCCATGGGCTAAAAAAAGAGTGAACACATTGGAGACAGCTTGAAAATAATGTCTATCAGAAAAAAGCATTTCTTTTTTAGTATAAAAGGTTTTGGTTTTTTTTTAAGCCCATTTACTATATGCAATTCTGGAATCAT